TATTCTTTCACCCTCAGTCTTGAGAGATGGTTAATTAAATGACATCATTCTGCAAATACTCAGTGGATCTTGGCATCACTGAAAGGAAAGTCTGAGAGCCTCAAGAACCATCAATCTCAAGGGATCCCATGGTCTTCACAAACACACAGAAAGATGTGTAAAAACAGGCAAGATACGTGATGTAAATTGCTACTTGACCAGAAGTGATTAGACAGATTCCCAAAGGTAAAAAAGGGCAAGATTTTAGCTGCTGCCAGCTCTTCCTCAGTATTAGGAATAACGCTTGGGATTGCAGACCCTCACAGAGACTGAGTTCAGGGTGTGCTAAGTGAATTCATGTTGCTGACTACTGCCTGTTGAATCTTCAGGAAGCTTAATGTGAAATTTCTGCAAGTTATGTTTGGAGATACTCCTGGTGCATGATTTCAGTGGAGAAAAAAGCCTCCTGCTTGAGACCCAAATAAATCCTTTCATTAAAGTGAGGGTGCAAGCCTCAGTAAAATCAGTGTTTGACATTTAATTTGAAAGTGCAGAGTTTCAGCTTAATGAAGTCCAAGGCAGGTTACAGTTTCCTCCCTCAGAAGAAGAGGAAATGAGTTTGATGGTTGAAGCAGCTGGAAAGAAAACTCCTGCAAAAAGAGTTCTTGAAAAAGTCAGGGGAGCTAGGCTGGGGGAATAGTAGAAGGAAGGCAGCAGTAATCAGCTTCTATTTAATATAAGAGATCTTCATACTCAGTTCCACCAGAAGAATTGCTCCCTAAGGCAATTAATTGTCTAGGCAATTGTCTCCCTCAGCTTTGTCGAGGAGGTAAAGCGGATGAGAAAATTCAACAAAAGAAAATTATTGTTCATGAGGGATGTGTTGAAAGGGGGATTGAAGTTTTACACGTGTGGTCATGGGCTCTAAACGAACCATTGCAGCTCAGCTTGAGAACGTGATCTCAGGATTTATTAGTCTACAAAGTATCAGCTCAAAAGTCAAACACTTGGAATTTTTAGAAAAGGAATAGAGAACAAAGTGCTATTTTCCAGCTGTGTAATTTATGATGCACCTGTATCATATATATTGTATGAGGTTTTTTTTTTTTTGTTTGTTTGTTTGTTTGTTTGTTTTTTTTTTTTGTGGGGCCGAGGGGAGATGCACCACCAGAGCTTTGTCCCCTTCCATCACAGAAAATATACAACTTGGAACTAGGGAAGGTTCAGAGAAAGGCAATTAAGATGATAAATAGCTTCCCTATGAGGAATAAATAGACTAGTACTCTTTAGCTTGGTAAACAGATGACCCAATGAAAAGTGAAGACTGTAAAATCAAAGGTAGGCCATAAAAGTTGAGGAGATGAACTGCTCATAGTCTTTTTTAAAACAAAACTTCAGAGATATCAAAGAAAGAGTTCAGTGGGTTCTTGACACAACGTAGAGTTCAACTGCATAACCTGTTGCTACACAAAGTTATGGTTACCAATGGTTTACTGCTATTCTAATAATTATGTATTAAGCAAACCTCTATGGACTTTTCTTCCATGAGATGAACAGCCATAATTTTGTGGGAAGACTATTCAGTATGATGGAAGAGAATACTTTTGTCTTTTGGGAGCTGAAAATTCAGCTGCAGAGACTGAAGTATTGCTTGGTGTTAAGATTTCATCCTTTCTATAGTTCAATATATTTGTCATCTTTGGATAGAAAATACTTTCCTTCAGAAACCCAGAAATTTTGAGCAGTCAGAACCAATACATTACCACAAACATAGTGATGGGATCTGCAGCTCTATCCCCTGCAACTGATGCAGTCTGAGGTACCTCACCTACAGATTTCCTTGAACAACAAAGAAAAGGAGTGCTTCCAGCAGATGAGAACACACGTATTAAGATGAAAAAATATGAAGAAAGCAGCTTTGAGATTACTGCTCATGACAATTAGATAATGAAATTATCATCTTTCCTGTATACAGCTCGAAGAGTTCATGTACAAAATCTCAGATGTATTTCTAGCCCATTGCATTGTTTTAACCTGCAATCCGTGAAGAAAACTAGAAGCTTGGTGCCCTTCTCTCATGCTAGGGCTCCTAATGGCTTCTTTTACTGGAAGGCATAGATTGGCTGATGGGTGTTTATTATTAGCAGGCTTGGTGTTGACCGTCCTGACATTAACTAGGGGGAGATCATACTGCTCTTCTCAATATCCCCAATTGTCCCTCCACCTCCATTCCCCTAAAGCTTTTTGGGTAGGGCTAAGGGGAGTAAATTAGAGGAGATGAGAAGCATTCCTGTTTGAGCACAAAGACCTCATGAGATAAGTATATTCTGCTCCTGTGCATCAGGCTCCTTGTCCCTCTGACAGGTCAGTTAAATGGGAGATCCCATTCTTGTGTTGATGCTCAGCGTTATGGCATCACATTGAGGACCACTAAGTGCAGTTGCCTGGGAAATGCTGAGGTGACTACCAGGCATGTGAAGCCTGAGGTGCATGTGAAGCCTGAGGTGCTGGGTATCTGTTTTTGCTTGCCAGGATGGAGAGAGAACAGTGGGCAACAGCTGCTCTGCAGCAGTGAGAGATCATCATGCTTTGGCATTATAGTACACAAAGGAAGAGCCTTTTGTCTTGACCACTTGAGCAGATAAGAATGAGCAGAAAGTACTGGCAGCACAACCTCTACAGATGCAAAATCTGTCTGTTACTCTCCAGTATAACCTCCACCAAGATTTAATTTTTTAGGAAAAAAGAAATTCAAAGTTGTCTGCCTGAGGGATAAAGCAGTGGTTCTGACAAAAACACCACAATACCTGGAGACTGTTTAAACAAATACAGAAAGTTGGTTTTACCTGATTCTACCTACCTCCATATGCACTTGAATTCCTATAGCAGAGAAATTAGAAACACCTCCACACTGAGTCTACACATACATGGAAAAGGTATACAAATCTTAGCTCATTTTCTGGACTGAATCAGACATGTTCACACTCCCTACACTAATCCCTAGCACACAAATACACTGCTGTTTGTAGCAAAGATTGGCTGTCCAGATACTTCACCAAATACCAGCTACTCATCAGTTTTACTAGCAACAGCCAGTGGTTAAGTATATTCTGGACTTCATTTCTCTTAAGATCTTTGGGAACCATGGGGCTTAACTTTAAGTCAGCCATCCTTGGTTCTTAATTTAGCCCTACTTTGACACCCTCTGCATTGGGGTTTTAATCTTTCTTGGCAATGTCATGCAGCACGTTACATGCAAAGAACATCCTGTTACATTTTCAGGCATCTTTGACTACCAGTCAGGTTTGCATGGTTACTGAAATATTTTCAAGAAGCCAGATGCTTTTGCTGTGTCATTCTGGAGGATGTCTGTTGTGCCCTGGCCTGAACATACTTTTGGACTTACTAGTAAGAAAAAAAACTCAACTATTTTTTTTTCTTCTATTCATCAACACATTAATAGTCCCATTTGAGAATGAGGATGACTTAAGGTCAACATGAGCATAGGTATGTGTTCGGCCTCTGCCCATTAGGAAGACAATCTAGGCTGCTTTTCTAACCATGAAAATGTTATCTAGCCAGGCTTTCTGCTTAGCAGTTGCACAATAGTCTTCAAGTTAATGTGTTCCTCAAACATGCAACCGAGAATTCCTGTGCTCCCAAACTCAATTTGAAAACTACTGGCTCATGTACTGACTTTAATGTCTGGCAACCTCTTCCTAAATAAGAAGTGATTTGGGTATGCTATCAAAAAGAAACACTTAAGACAGTCTTCTCCTGAATCTCCCTTGAATCTTCCACCCTTTATAGCTATGATGTTATATAGCATAGGAAATGGCAGTCAGTGTTCCCACAATGACCTTATACCAACTGCCCTCACCCATGCTTTTGGTCTCCACACTCTATCAGCCTGAAATTCTGGTTGGTGGTATACAAGACAGTCAACAAGAACTGCGTCCAACTGAGTCCAAGCAGCATTTGGAGCCCCACCTACACAATCTGGCAAAACAAAGGGACCTGACATTATTTTTTCTAAGCAGAGATATCCAAGTTGAAGATCTCAAGCTCATCATTCAAGCTTTGTTCAGCTGCAAGTTCTCGCAACAAACAGCAGGTTTTTGTGCAAAACTCCACTGTACCAAGGAACGGGGCTCACAGAGAGGGCCAGAAACAGCACGCTCCTGTTTACGTAAAAGTGGAAGAAATCATCTCTGCTACTTGAAACACCTGCAAGTGCATTATCTGACTATATAGCAGTAGGGTAACTTTCCCCCTGATCAGTGTATCTTCAGCTAAGAAGCATTTTAGAGAACTGAAAGATACAAGCTCTTCCACGAAGCATGGGACCATTTATTCCCCTGTCATGTGAAAAGCTTCCAGTTACTCACCCTTGTCAATACGTCTTTCCTGAACATCCTCTGTCTCTCTCAATATAAGACATCTCTCCCAGTAAGTAAATTTTGTGGAACAAAGGGACTGTTTCATCAATTGACAGGTAATAGAGCAAAACAAATAATCATGTACAAAATGCAGCAACAAGCATAAACACTCTGTATTGTTCCCTGACCATTCACTTAATTTTGAGTTACAAATGGTTACTGATAGCAGAAAAGGGAGGGAGATAAATATACACAAAGAAAAACTTTTCTGCTTCACGAGTTTAGTTGCAAATCCCAAATCTTTATGGCTGAAAGTAACTTTTCTTCATAATGAATCTGGAATGCCTAAAAGATGTGGGAAATCTGTTCCCCAGCTTAATATTAAACTGAAATATGATCCTTTGGTCTTTAAACTGGAACATCTGGTAGAAAACTTTGCTGGTCAAAATTTATTAGCTAATAAAGACTATAATGAATTTCCACAGTTAGACAGTTACGCATGTTTTATATAAAAGAATTCATGACACTACAAAGCACTCAGCACTTAGAGCAAAGGCAAATATTATTTGGTAAGGCATGAAGGGAAGATACATTATTGCAATTTAAAATAAATTTCATGGCAATAAAATAACATACTTTTTCCTTTTAAAATACAGAGCCCAATTAAAATATAGCCAAACCTAAACTGTCAAACTCCTTAAAGCAAGAGATCAGACAATTATGTCAAATATGTTTAATTTTTTTCAAAGTAACTGATGGCAAAATAAAATATTTACATCATGTCATACTGTGTAAACATGTAACTGTACAAAGAAATATACATGCAAAATAAAGCAAAAAATTTAACTAAAACAATAAAGGAAAATAATACACAAACATAATGATATGAGGTTGGTACGAATACACATCCAGTTTTGAAGTCAGTTGTTTTCTTTTAAAAAGTTTCTGTACAACTTTACAAAAAAAACCAAAAAAACAAACAAAAAAGAATAAATAGGATACAGGGGAAGCCACAAAGCTCAAAACTAACCCAAGCTAGTTATGGCTTAAGACCCATATATCTAACTATTGTGGGATGTCGGCGTGGTTTCCTTAAACATGGCATTTCACACAAACATAGGTGACAACACACCCATATGAACTCAGTGATGCACAGAAAACCATCTCTGTCTTTTTAAATATCTCACGTTAATATTACTTCAACCTTTAAAACAGTTACTAAGACAATTACATTACGTATCCAATTCTCCTCATCTGACCACTACTTTCTGAATGTAATCTTCACCAAAGAGCACAAAATTAATTTGTTCATTTCACAGAAAGAAGTAAACACAGATTTGAAAATTCTAAAAAGTAGTAAGTATTGAGACTGATTTGGGGAAAGTCAGACTTTGGCATTTTAAATATAATAATACATTTTAAAAAGTGTCACCCTACTTCTTAATCAGTTTGACATTTGGGGTACGAATCTCTCTCTCAGTTTGTTTTTTTTTTTTTTTTTTTTCCAAACAATCCTTAAAACTTACTAGTCTTGACTAAATTCTATGCTAAGCCTCATCTTAAACTAATAATGACAGTGTGGTACAACACACCCTCCCCTGCCCACCCAGAACCCCCAATCACACAAACAAAACCATAAAGCTCGCCGTACTAAGTATGTGCTTTTTCTATATATTTATTACAGTTACAACAGAGGTCCTCATAAATAGTTGCATAAAATGTTAAAGCCACAACATTGCACATGATATGAAAGAAAACAAAATCCCAAATGAGTGCATTTACAGTATTACATCCTGCTGTATACTGCTTGACAATTGGGTCAGCAAGCTGGGCACCAACCCAAAGTCCTTTTCTAGGGGGACAGTGAGTACTGACCCAAACTGAAGACCCGCACAGTGGTATACCACCATTTAGGAAGGAGGGGGGGAAAAAATGGATAAGAGGAGGGGAAAAAAAAAAATTACAGATCGAAGGCAGGTAACAGTCTATATACAAGTAAGGCCTACATTTTATCAGAGCAAAACATTTCCTTCTATTTGTATGCAAAAACTTTGAGGTTGGATGCACTTAAAAGCAGAGTCTGATCTCAGTGCACTGCTACGTGAGATACATACAGCCGAGGCAACTGGAAAGCTCTAAGACCAAGTGAAAATCAGATGTTATAAATGAAGGCCGTACCAACGGGCAGCCATTTTGGTGAGTCTTCTCCAGGCATGATTTGATTTTTTGTTTAACACCAGTGCTTTGAACATAGGCATTTCTTCCTTGAATAAATCTTGAAAACGGTAGCTAAGTTCACTTGCAAAATTCAACTCTTGTTTATTAAAAAAACTATTTTTTTTTTTTGCAGAAACCTGAATAAAATACTGTTACTGTATCACTTGTGACTGCTTTTTGCAGAGTACAGTGCTATTGTCCTCCACCCCCGTGAAGTCTGCATCACCAGTCCCCCACGCCGCCCTGCGCGGGTCTCTGTGGAATGCATTTGCACACGAACATTCGCTAGCAGCTGGTTGGCTTGGGGTTTGCTTTCCTCAAAATTCAAGTCAACAGCTGATTGGCAGAAGGAGTCTATCTCCAGTCTGATTGATTGGCAGAAGGAGTCCATCTCCGGTCTGATTGATTGGCAGGTGAAAGAGAATGAGAGAGAACTTCAAGCAAGGTCAAACTCTTGGCAAGAGCCTGCTCTGTAAGAAGTTTTTAATGCTACGGATGGGTCGAACATCATTCTGGTGTTTTCGCCGCTCAATGAATGAAGTCAGTCTGGATATATCAATGCTGTCAGCACTTTTGCTATTCCCTAGCTGCAGCCATTGCTCCTGGAGGGCCAGTGCAGCCGAGGGACGCTTATCTGGGTCATCCTGAAGTAGGAAGCATACAAAATCTTTGGCCTTCTGGCTAACTCCTTTGAAGTAGTCATCTGGGAAACTAAAGTCTAAGCGGCAAATGTTCAGGCAAGTTTCCTCTACACTTTCATCCAGGAAAGGAGAGACGCCACTAAGAAGGACATACGTGAGCACTCCAATGCTCCAAACATCTGAAGTGAGGGAAACAGGATTTCCAAGAATAATTTCAGGAGCTGCAAACTCTGGGTTTCCAAGTAACTGGTGGATATAATATGTGGTATTGAGCTGGACTGCGTCTCCAAAATCAGCCAGTTTTATTGTTGGTTTAGTGGAACTCTGGTCCACCAAAATATTTTCAGGCTAGAAAACAAAAGCAAAAGTTAAAATGTCTTTTTTCAAGTTGGTCTAACACACATTTAATGCTCCAACATAACAGCTTCCTAACCAGTGTGGTCAGCTCTACAACACAGCAAAGAACTGCATGCCACAGGGATTACTGCTGAAGGCCTGCTCTGCAAAGCTCTGAGGCAGTCTTACCAAGGCTTCCCCCAAACCAACTAACAGGCAGGTTCTTGCCTACTATACCATGCAATCAGTGTGCTTTAGCTGCTGGCACTATAGTTTTTGCAGGAAGTATAGTTCTGCCAGGTTATACTGCAGCTGCTCATGACAGCAGCTTTGCAAATTTTCACGGGAACCTGTGTTTGGGAACTTAAGCTTTAAGAGCAGCAATTACAAACAGAGGGTGAATAAAGCAACTGATCTACTTGTTTTATGACAGAGACAACAAAACCCTTGCATTTCAAGACTGGAAAACTTTGGAATTTGCATGATGCTTTCAACAGAATTCAGTTTTACTTGGCGATTCTTTAACGGAATGCAGCTGTACAGATGGAAGACAAGCACTGTTAGGAGACTATGGCAGCAGCAGATCCTGCTGGATGTACATGACTTCAAGAGAACTGCCCCACTACTGGTGAGCTGAATTTGGAGTGGAATTATTTCTACAGTTTTATTTCTGAAGCTACTGTGGCTGTAGCAGTAATCTCTGCAAAGTAAGAGTGACTTATGCACAACTAGTTTTTAATTAGTTTATCGGGATGTACCGTGAGACCAGAAAAAGTACTGGTGAACTCTGAATATCACTAGAAAAAATTTAAATTTTGGGTCTCCATGGTATAAAGGCCCCAAACTGGTTCTGCTTGGAAAACAGAACTACACGGAGGGAAGATTCAGGCTCTTCTTGCTTTTTCTCACCATGACCCCATTTGTCTAAAGAGACTCTGCCTACAAAGATGACTTGTCAATACTAAAATTCCTTATTATTCATATAAAAATGAAGAAAAGTGTAAAGAGTAAGTTTTAAATTAATATTCAAATTAAGAACTTGTCATATAGCTTCTCCTACTAAAATGCATCAAATCCTTGTGGCTCAAGTAAAGTTCAAAGCATAGAACAAAAGCAAAACAGGTACCATTCACATAGGTATCACAGCCCTCAAAGTGCAAAGATGAGAAACATATTTGCAGCAAGAGAGGAAAAGTAGTCTCTTTCGCAACAAACTCCATGCTTCTCGAGAAAGAAACAGATTGCTCCTGCCAAGTTATCAGAAAGTAAATAAATAAATGAATAAATAAATAGAAATCAAACAAAACTGTCCCTGTCAGCAATTATTTCCAGCAGAAAGCACCACACAGGGCCAGCAAGCCATAAGGAGAGAGCACAGGGAACTGGAAGTTTCTGCTTTGCTGGCTAAGAGTGATCTAAAAAATTTGGGGATGGAGCCCCAGCCGTATCATTCATACAGTCTCAAAGCAATTCACAGTTCTATGTTCCCAGCTGTGAGTTTCCTAGAAGAGGGAGATTTTTATGCCTGGAATGATGCACACTGCCAGGAATCCCATTCACATCTCACCTTTAGGTCCAAATGTGCTATTCTGCAGTTATGAAGATACTGCACAGCTTCCAGAATCTCTCCCAGGTAGAGTCTGATCTTCCCTTCTGTGAGGTTTCCCCATCGCACGATGTAGTCTAGAAGGCGACCCTGGTCAGCCCTGTTGGAATTACAAGGGTTATATTCTGGATAAATCCATATATGAGAACTGAAAGAAAAACCTAACAGGCTATAGACTACAGGAACAACTGTAGCCTGCAGCAGCTAGAAGACAAAGGACTATGGTATGAAGAGGAGATTTCATATCAAGCTACCAGATCACAACATTTCTAATTTACTTGTGCAGCCACTTGATACAAAATAACAGCTGGACCTTCAGACTAAGATAATCATCCACATATCAATTTAATATCTCAACTTGTTTCCTTCTGAGTAATAAACTAAATGTTTTAGTAACAGCGTTAGACAACTGCAATATTTTACTTATGTGCTTTCAAACTTCCATGAAATCTTAGAGCTCCTTATTCATAAACCACTATAAATGCCCCAGAAACTCAGAAGATTTTACAGATAACATTAAGAGTCCACACACATTTCTAATACTAGTATGTAGTTGGTGGAGGTCTCAAAGGTATCGATAAGGCCAATGAGCTGGGGATGCTGGAGATTCTGCATGACTCCAAGTTCATGGGTAACCTGGTCTCGCTTCATCAGCTTCTTATTCACAAACTTAGTGGCTACTGCTCGCTTGGTTCCCTTCTGGTCACACTTCTTAACGACAGAAAATCTGCCCCTGGAATACAATGTTGAAAGGACAGAATTAGCCAAGAGATGCCATGAGGACATACTTTCACTTGAAAGATATACTGCAAGAGAATCTAACTTTAGATCTCTAATAAGCTACCCTTACAGAGCAATTCCTGAACATAAGAGTTTTCAGTGCATGCATCTACTACAAATTGTGTCTGTATAAACCTGACAAAGATCTGTTTTATCACAACTGCACAGAACTCAAGTCAGAGTAATATCCAGTTTCAAAGGTTACCACTAAATTGGACAACTGTGTTTTCTATGTGACTAATTTTGCCCATTTTCAGACTTTTTTCATAACCTAAATAAAAAAGTTTAAGAGAGCTTCACTGGAGAAGCAGTGTCAGTCACTGTATAGCACATTTAAAAAAAAAAAATAAAATCTCCTAATCTATGACACCACTTTAGCCTAACTACATTCTGTTTATGCAGTGCCATCTAGTGCTGGTAAAACTTTTGCTTCCTCATTTCTATTTAATCCAATGCAATTCTGGCCTTTTAGGCTCATACAACAAGTATTTTTCAAGGAGAATTTAATTTTTGAAAGACAAGACAGTATTTTGACACAGAGATACAGAACTCACCTGCCAAGCTCAGCCACTTCATTGTAGTGGGAATCAAAGTTGTCTTTCCAGATTACCATGATCCCATCAGTTCCAGGACCTAGGGAAAAAAAAAGAACAGTATATCCAAGATTTATTATACTCAGATTTTAAACTAAATTGTTGTCATTATAACATTGAAATATGTTATTTCAAATGTTTGCAGAAGGAGAAATATTTGGATTTCTTATCCTGTTAGGGAATAGATTTTAGGAAGAATTTGCCTCAGTCAGACTGGGCTCTATCATCTTTCTTTTGAAGCTCTGTCCATATTAAAAAACAATTCATAAGGCCTCAAAAAAAGGCCTCATATTATCCATCCTCCTGGAGCTCAGAAAGAAAATTATTTCTGTAATCAACTACTTCACTGATAGTTTTCAATGACTGCTACAGCAACAGAAGAGTATTCTTTATTCTTTGCACAAGAGCTGAATATAATCAAATGGAAAGTCAGTTCAAGTCTGAAGGACTAAAAAATATTTCCAAAATTTGAAGTTGAAACCTTACTTAGTGATCCAGACTTCAGAGTTTTCATTTTGCATTTATTGGTGGGGGAAATGAAGGGAAGAATGGTCCCAGAAAAACTGGGGCCAGAACTTCTTCATAAAAGTAGTGGTAGAGCTGAGAAGGACTAGCAAAATACAGCTGCCTGTCCTTTGGAGTCTAGCTGCAGAGTAACTATGACATACCAAATTCTGGTTTAGTTTTGATGGAAAAGTAAACACTTTGTAAGTGCTTTTGGATAAGGTCAGTAAGACCAAAGACTGTGTCTGAAAGACAGTAGTTTAGTCTACAAGACTTCCGCGACTCTTGATTCTTGTCAAATCAGTTTTAGGCTTCTGAACTGATGTCCTTCAAGCACACAGTTTCACAGTGATTCTTATCCATCAGGAGCTTTTTACTCTCCTAACTAGAAAGTTTCCTTCGCTGAGATACTATGAGAGGAATCACCCCATCCTGTTAATCCCTGTATGACGACATAGGGTGGCAGCAAGACAAACTGGATTACACAGCAAAGCGGTCTGGCCAATGCAGCAGAACAAATTCTATAGTGGAACTACTTCAGGTACAGTGGTAACTATCTGTATAGGAATGAGTAGCCTTGGCAAAGTGAGAGAAACTGTAAAAAGAAAAGGCATTTTACACTATATCTCATAATCAACAATACACCTGCCAGTGGAAAAAAAACAGTGACCTGGCAGTGTAACAGCTACCTTAAAAAGTAACACCATTTTTCATGAAACGTTAGTCTAAAGATGACAATTTTCTGACTCCTTTATATATTGCAGCACATTCATCCTAGGGCTTAACTACTGTCTGTCTTGGTCAGTGGGCAGGAAGTGCCTGGAATAATCACCACCTCAATATTGGCAGTAAGGCACTTACTGTGGTTACCAATAGGCAGCATGGCAGCACTGGATATAACCCCCCCAAAATTTCAGATGAGATTTGGAAGGGACACAGCTTTCACAGTCTAGTTTAACAATCTACAAAAACGGCAAAATTCTTGGAAAAAAAGGCAATAAAGACTGTTCAGGAGAGGTACAGGACAACTGGAAGTCCCCATATTAGCTTGGACAGATGTACAAAGACAGAGGGCAGCACTTCATCTCTTGTTTTCTTTTGTATGAGTCAATTTGAGACAGAGCCATTGCAGCTAAAATCTATGAATTAATTCTCACCAATGGATAAATATATGGGCCTCTCCATGGATTAAAGGACCCAGTTAGTATCAATTATTATGACCTGCATGTAAGAAAGCCTTCTATCCTTCTGTCTCTGTTTTACCTGTTTCTATAAAATGGAGAATCTTGAACACTTAAGAATAACTAAACATACAAACATGCACCAAAGCTTATCATTATGTCATCAAACACATAAAATTAAAATCTTTTTTTCCCCTTTGCTGTCTGCCTCCAAAACAGAGGCATTTTTCATCTTTGCAGGTCTCCTTTTTGTTTCCTCACAAACAATCAGGTTGCCTCGCTTCAGGTACTGAAATCATGCAACTTAAATGTAGATCAATGATGCAAAGACAGGAACTCATTATATATTTTCCTAAACATTGTGGCTGTACAATTCCAGTAAAGGATAATTAAAAAGACAGAGTAATGCTACTCTTTTCTCATCTGTACACTTCAGAAATTATAAGTCAGCACAGTAACATTCATTGAGACTAAACTAAGAATGCTGATGATAAAATATGATTTTATCAGTGCGTTTGAACTAATATTGGCCAAGTAAATGCATATGTGATAGTACATAATTTATGTATGAACCTCTAATCAGTTACATTCTAAAACTTCCTCTATTTCTGCTAAAACAAACAATATATCACAGGTAAAAAGGCTTGTTATGATACTGCTTTAACAAAGGGATGCCCAAGAGCTGAGTTTTTTCTTTTTACTGTTCTGTGGGTACCAGACACTTTGAATGTAACTACATTTTTTAAAAAAAGCAAAGAGACAGGCCTACCTAAAACTCGTAGACTGGCGGAAGATGAAACTGAACCCATATCGTTTGCAGCTATACACGTGTAGATACCATCGTCTTCTGCAGTGACGCCAATGATTTTCAGCGAAGCCTCTCCTAAGTCACTGGGAAATGCAACGGCATCTGTTAACTTTACATTAATTTTGCAGACCTTAGGATATGAAAACTAGACAAAGTTAGATTGATATTGTTTATACTTCTTAGTCTCCAGCCCGTATCTCTCTCTTGACAAACATTACTAACCCTGTCCCTGCCATATCAAAAGTGTCTTTCAGAATGTGAGCACTTTGTGTTCATCAAGTATCTTGGAATGTCCTACAGATTATTAGAAAAACATCCTCATTGACATTCTGTCTCAGCATGCCCCAGGCTCCGTTGTGTTTGAAAACTCAAGTGCTTTCCTTGTTTCTTCCTGCTTCCTCTACCTTCTTGAAGTTATGAGAAGCTGTATCAAGACAAATGTCTATCATCGTTCTTTCTGAAAGGTTTGTTTCCATCCGTAACTCCCAGCAAATATCAGCTGATCTGTCATTTGTACTTTCAGAGCATTCACTCCTTGTAAGAGGGAGCTTCCTCTTCAACACTTCACAACTTTGGAGACCTCAGAGTCTGGGAGAATGAGGATGGGAGGTAACTAAAAAGGACTTAAGTTTTCCCTGAGCTCCAGGTCAGCAACAGCAATAAGCTATGTAAGACCACATCACAAAGATTCTGCAGACTCTTCCCTAATCTTTCTCACTTTTCAATCACACTTTTTATTTGATGTCTTTAAATGTCTACTTAAATCTTACTCTGTGTAAATTATTTCTAGTACTCTTTTGACTATCTGACATGAACAGCAGGTCATTTAATTTGCAACAGTCTCTTACGAGTACTTGGTGTCGTGGCAAAACCACAACAATTGGCAAGTCCTACCTACACTTTACTAGGCTCAAACCAACTCTAACATTGTGTTATTTTTTTCCACAATAATGCATATTTTCAAGATTTTCTATCATTCTTATTGCTTTCCTTTGGATTCATCTTAGTTACTACCAGCCATTTTACTGACTGAACTAAAAACTATTTGCCATGGTCTTCGCCACACAGTTTCAGGAGAAAAAAAGAAGGTACGTTTTAGGAACATAGGAAGATGACCACCTTCCCCAGTTCAAAGAACGTGTCATAACTATTTCTAAAAATCTGCCAGCCACAGACAACGTGATTTACTGGATATAGTTCTGTAAGAGGAATGAGTAACACTGAATTAAACCTAGCAAATCTAACTCTTACTCATCTCACAACAGCCCTGGATGCAGTAGCAAAGCCATCACACTAACTCTGACACTCTGTTAAAAAAACACAACCAAACAAAAAACCCAAACAAAAAGTAGGAGCAGCAGGAAGTAAAGAAAAACACTATAATATGCCATCCAGTTTTCATACAAGAGCTCTTGATTCTGAATTAAGAGCATAATTCATACATAAGATATTTCTTCACACTGAAGTTACTCAATAAACAACATTTCCTGTATATAAAAGAGTAAAAGAATGCTTTTTCAGAAAAAAAAATTTAACATTTAAAAAAATTTCCCATTCCAAAATAACAGTTTCTCTTATTAATCAGGTGTTTGAGTTACCAGTTATTCTGTAAAGTTCTATCACAGCAAAGCTAAACCCAGGCAAAAATGTTAATATCCATGCTTCAACAATAAAGAGTGACACTGCCACCTCAGTAGGAAACAGAGGCTTTTCTTTGCAAATTACTGTAGTGTGATCCGAAAGCTAATAAAGGAAATGAAGGACTGGCAGGATCTGTCACTGTCACAGCATCTGGCATGTCACAACATACTGTTCTGTTTCAAGCACCAGGTCAGCGTGACAGAACAACAGTTGCAGCAGTAGTTAATCAGAAATAACAGATTAATTTTCTTTTGTTTTTAAAAATCAAGTGAATATGATATTTTGGCACCCCAGTCCTACACAGAAGTTACACAACATTTCAGGAAAATCTCAGCTGTGAAATCCCCCTCTCTGTCTGAGGGCAATCCTATTTTCATGCCTCAGAGCCAAAGCTGCCCTGCACCAGAACAGACAGAAAATACAACTGTTCCAGCAGTTCCTGTTGAACATGGCACAAATTACTGTACCTGTACGAAATGCTGTGATGACCGTCATTGCTCAGTGTGTTATGATCAGGACCTTTCCAAGTAATTGAAGCCTTGGGGCGACCACAGACTTTACACTTAAGCACGATGGTCTCTCCTGTCTCACATGTTACCTCACTCAATGGAATTATAAACTCTGGGGGAACTGGAAAAAGAAAATTAATGGCATTAGGTCAACTGAAGTAAATTCATTAATTTAATTTCTATTCCTTGTGCTCCTTCTTTTCTATTAGACAAAATAGTAGGGTACTTTACATTTCCAAGATGTATCTATCCCCCTACCATTGGAGCAGATCCATGGTTAGGCCACTTGCTGAGGCTCTGCAGAGCTACTACACTTTCCTCTACGTGAACTTGGACACAATGCTGCTGCTATGCCACAGATAACCGTGAAACCTACCATGGTGAACCTAATAACCCTGTTTATGGCAAGCTGAGGAAACTCTACAGGACAGTATTTAAGGATGTGCCCAGCTAGGCTATCTTTATATCCAGCTAAGTTTGCAAAAGGGAACACAAAACACTTAATCCACTGAAGCACTGTAGTGGTTTCCCTTTTCCACAGGTGAAACTCAGAAAGTTTGGTTCTGTGTATTAAGGCAAAAACTCAGTTTGGCCCTAACCCCAAGGGGCCACTATCTTTGTCCTGATTAGCCTCTGCACTCGAGAGGTCCTGAACGTTCCCTAGGCTGCAAGGTTAAAAATAAAGCAGTTCCAACTCCTGGCCTTTTTACTTTGCAAATTAAGCAAGGCCCAACTTCCATACAGTCTCCACACAGAACACATACTATGGTTCTTGTGTTTTATGTTGTTTTGGATTTGTGGGGGGGGAAAAAAAGTTCCTTGCATCTTAAAAAATAAATATGATGTTATTTCATTCTACCTTATCCAAAAAGTGCCTGTGTACATTCTGATACAATGCCCTCAGTTCCCAACATAACTCATATCAAGCAAATAATGTTTTAATCAAATTATATTGGCTGCGACTTTTAAAAAATTAAAGTAACTTACCATCATAAATGTAATTGGGGTTGAGAAGCTGAAAAGAAGAAATTTAAGAATTAATGTCCTGATAACTGTATAATAACTTAAAGAATGGTACAAAACCAAGCACAGTGATAGGTTCAAAATCCATGAAACATCTGAACGTTATTCAATTATTTCTGCATTACTCTTTTCCTTTTCTGCAGTTATCCTTTTGTTGTATCATGCTTGCAGGTTCAAAGATTATACCTTCCTGTTTTCAGAAAGGTCCATTAAAACCACTGTTGTCTTTGATTCTTTCCTGTGGAATTCTGACAGAAGTTACTTTTAAAGAAATCCCAACCCAACAACTTTCAGCAACTACCACATGTGTGTAACACTTACCTTCACAGAAACCTTGTTGGCAAGTCCTTCTCGGGATTTGCGGTAACCGTTTTCTAGCTTGCCTTCCCTTTTGCCGTCTTTATCTTTTTTCTCAGATTTCTTCCTTAATCGGAGTGCTGTGTGCCAAGACGTTGACTTCCTGAACACAGAACATGAAACTTTGATCAATTTTTCTCATGTTATGTGCTATACTATTTTCAAATGTTACTGGACAAGTATGTCGAAATGTTACTTATATGTATTACAGTATAGTGAAATGAAATACATTAAGTATTACGTAAGAGATGACATCCTTGGCTAAAACTGTAAGCAAGCTAGTCATGTAGTCTGTATTTCAGTATTTCTTGAAATCACTGCTCAAATGGTAAACTTGCTATGTGAAAATACAAACTGTCAATCAAGCTGAGCAATGGTTGGTACCAAATACAGCCTACAGGAGCTTTATATAAAATTTCAATACCAAGAACTTTGACATAATTTCTTCCATTGCAGATTTGAGAGAGGTCTTCTGAGCACAACCAGTCATTTTCATTTCCTTTGTGGCCTAAAGTGGAGATCTAGGAACTCTGAAATCTTGTTTCACTTGAACAAACATCCCCTCCCTGTTTTCCTAGACAATGATGTCTAGACTGGTAACTCATTCTATTAAACAAACCATTTAATGCTCTTAGATCAGGCATTCCTTTCCCATACGACTGGGTTACTGAAGTTTTTAATAATGAATATGTGCTTCTGGGATCTTTCTTACTAGCTTGTATTTTGAAGTTTGCTAAGGGACCTCTTAAGTACTCATTCTGTTTGTTGTTCATTTATTTCTCAATGATCACATCAACTTTTGGTTTAAAAGGTTCAAAGCCTTGCCTAAATTGGAAGATTTTCTTTCTCCTCCCCTTCTACACACACCCAGGCACTCACTTGATGGTTCCATCAGGGTTGTCAATGATGACTGCACTGGTATGCCCCAAGACATAGCCGGGAATCCAGCCCTCAGCTGCGGGGCACTGATCAGTGGCGGCTCTGAACACCAAAAACATGTTCTGTTGGTTGCTGGCTAGAATCTGCACGACCTCTCCTTGGTAGACATTTATCTCATCCTCCTTCACTGCCGTGTAATCGTGTGTCACCAGCATGGTGGAGATATTGCTACTGCTGCTACTTTCACTCTGCAAGTGTCAGTCAGAAGCAGAGAGAAAGGGGAAAAAAAGAGAATCAAGTTTAAAGTTCATGAAGAAGACTAACTGTTCTTGGCCTGATACATTACCTGTATAACCCACAAAGTTTAAACTGTAGTCAAAGAAAAGAGCAACAATTTTTCTTTTAAAGCTGCCTGTGTCTAATTTTCTTGTGCATTAGTTTGATCTTTGAATATCTTCACATACCACTGCTGCATAAATTGATTCCCATTACTTAAGATTATTTCCATTAACTAAGAATCAGTTTATACATAGATCTCATCTTCTTTTCAAGCCTAGACACTGAACCTCGCATCTTCATCAGGCAACAAAACTTAGAAGCATGTAAGACAGTTTTTCATGGTCTTAAAATTACAGTTTCAAAATCATAATCATTAGCTCATAAACACTGGAAATTCCTACAACAAAAAATACATATACTCTTTCCTAACTATTTGTCAGATCTCAGACACCAGCCTTCTGCACACAAAACATGACAAGGTACAAAAGAACAAAACAGGCTTTTGACAGTGTGTCTCAAAACCACATGGCTTATTTCTGGTTGAATCTGTATGATCAGGTTTATTCCTTAAAATGCAAAGGATGAGGTAAATTACTGAAATAAGAAATTATTAATTTCTTGGTTGAAACAGGCCAACTATACTATCAGAATCACTTCTGACTGATTAGTGATTATGATAGCTGAGTGGTGTAGGCTGTTCATCATACACTTTCAACTACTGTGTACAATCCTCACTAAGTATTTGTAGAAAGCTAATTATGGTGGATCAGTTGTAATCATACTACTTTCAAAACAAAAATCCTTGTCCTGACTATAAATTCACTAGAAATTATTATTTTTTAAAAGTAAGACTTATTTTGTCAACTTGCATGTATTCAGTGTATGAGGTTTAAAAAATGGAAGTGTGAAATCTGTTACAAGATTACACAATCCACTCCCTCGATAAGTTATTTCCTTCTTGAAACAAATTAAAAACAAACTGGATGGTCAATTAACGATGTGGCATGAGGTGTGTATGTATGTGTGTGCCTGTCTTTCGTCTCTGTTCTTATTTCAAATTGTTTCAGGTCACTCACTAGCGGTGAGGGCTCACTATTGCTCAGTAGTAGCTGAGCTGAAGAAGGAAATTAGTGCTCAGATATAGCGGGAGACTCCTGTTGCTTATATAGCATAACCACATGTTAGCACCATGTATGTGCTAGTAGAAAGCTTGGCACACAAGATTTAAACAGTGTAATCTTTTTTCTCTAAACTGTCAAATATTCCTCCCCTCAGTGTTGAGGAGATGCAGCAGGTGTCAGTGGACAGAGTGGTACACTGGAAGCCTTAACACAACATTCTCTTCCCATCTGCTAATGGTCTTGAACAAGTCACTCCACCTCTCTGTGCCTGCGCTTCCCTATGAGTACTCTGGCTGAGAAACCAAGACATTTGGAAAGGAACAGCTTCAGATTACTCATTCATAGCACATTCAGCACACTGAGGCTTGGGTTTCCAGTGACTGTACATTTTATTCTAGCTGGATTGTTACATTCAACTGAGTGATTCAAGTCTTCCTTTTTTTGGCCTTATTAGGATGATGAAGCAAATGCTACTTCAGAGAGAAAGATCTTATCATGGATTATACTAAAGTATATTTACATTAATTTCAGATGCTGCATTTCCAGCAGGAGAGTTTGTTTTTTCTAGTTTAGAGGACTGCCTGCATGCCCTTTTGTATTTGCAAGCCCTTTCCACAATTCAGGCAAACTGGGCATAGCCAAACCAAACAAAATAATTTAATTTTCAGTCATTATTTAAATTAAATTATAACTTTCTATATTCTTTTACCTAGATGAAAAACAACTCTATTCAAAAAAGCTGCTTTTGTTAACTCCTCCTGTTACATTTACAGGGAGAGACAAAGAGAAGATGCAATCTCAACCTAAGCATCAAACCTTGCCCCACACACTATTCCTGGTCATAACTGCTTCTTAGCATGCAGCAGATTTTGTGTAACTGAAACAATGGCCTTTCAGCTACATAGTATTCCTTTTCAACATTTAAGTCTTGAAGGATCACATTAAACTCTAAATATTTCTTGTTTTCAACAAGGACAGTTAAATCTGTTAAATAAACAAGTGTCTGGTAACTATTAAATGACAAATGTTCTTGAGAATGTGTTTATACCAGCATTCATTCTCACCACAGAAAGGTAGCCTTCTCTTCTGCCTTGCAATGAAGTCATTATTCTTGCACAGTTAATGTTTTTCTGCTTCAAGTTCTGCTGGTCATCACTGACCTCAACTATGGGATTAGAGGAGGAGCTACAAATAAAATACAAAAAATTCCTCCCATATTCCTCAATTAGCAAAACCTACTCCATTTTCTTCTTCTTAGAAGTAACTTTCAGTAAGTAATCAACCATAACCATATGCACATGTAAATATACACACACAAGTGGTTAAATCAAAATAAACCTTCACAACCTATTTTCTCTACCTTGTTCAGTGTGGTGTGAAATCTTGCTCATAGGTCTATAAATGAGGTTATAAATGAGGACTTATGGTCCATCTCAATTACCAAACTAAAAGACAGTTGTGAAGCGGAAGTATGCATTCCATGATTACCTCTAACAGTGAGATAAAACCAACCAATGTTGTCTTTGCTGAGATAGTATCAAAATCCAAATGTTTTGCAAACTCAGTGCCAGCCCATCTTTCCCTCTCTCTTTTTTTAATGGAACAACCTGAATTAATATTATGCAAGTCTTCTCTGCATATAAAAAGTACCACCATCTTGATTCACACACTATGCACTAAGTGCAAAATACTCAAATTACCCCAGATATTATATTACATTATATCACATCATATTTTGCTAGATGAAAAATAAACACAAGACAGAGCTAAACAAAAAAAAAAAAAGGGTGAAGGAAGATTGGGATAAAAATACAAAACATGCAAAGCATAATTCTTTTCTTCTGAAGCTATTATAAAAGTAAGTATAAGAACTAAGAAGTCAAGAAAGCATTGTATGTTAAACAGTTCTATAAAGATAAGCATGCATTTAAAAAAGGTCCAGCAAATTAGGTGATTTGCAAAATTGGTATTGCATACTATTTGTGAGAGAGTGGAAAAACAAACATTCATGAACACAACACTTAGTGAGAGAAAAATCAAATGCAAATTTAAAAAGAAAGGCACCATAACCTGCCTACCACATCCATGGCAAGAGCCTCCACATTTTTGCTTTTATGTGCACATGCCCCTGTGATTGCTGTGTTGCTTTCCTGGTGGACGTTATTACAGGTAACGTAGATTCTGTTGATAACCCAGATTTCCACACAAACACACCAAGTGCATTCTAAGAGGCTGAATCTCCAGATACCCTAAACCAGTTCTTCTTACAAAGGAGAAAAGACAAGTGGAGCGGGTATTTGTTTTGATTGTAGCAGAAGGAAGATTACTTTAGCTAGGTTTTGTTGGTCTATTTTGAGTGGATTGGAGAAAGCTTCCTTGATCAAACACAGATTTAAAAAGAGAATTTTGTACAACAACTAAAGCTGAAAGGAGGGGAGGGAAATAAATTAATAAAAAATTAAAAATCAAGCGGCCCAGGGACTGAAGACGTCTCCACGAAGTCAAAACTCAACAGAACAATGGTGGCGAATTTGTGCGTGAAAGGGAAAAAAGCCCCAAGGCAATCTGCCAAAATCTTGAAGTCAGGTTTAAGTGTGCTGGCGCAACGCATACCCCAAGGTGCTCTGGCCGCCACGCTTCAGCATGTTAATTATGTGCCTTCAAATTAGAGACGAGAAAAGCAAGGACAGCGAGTTAGTAGTTATCAGCTTAGTGACCTATGTTTTCAGCAGAGGCAGAAGTTGCATCTAACGTTAGCAGTCGCTTTTGTGTCTGTATACATAGCTATGTTCGTATGTATACATACACAGAGAGGTAGACACTCTTGTTTTTTTTAATGTGCAGAAGATATTTGAACAGTTGATTATTTCAGAGCAGTACAGCACTCGAGAGCCAGAAGTTAGTATGGAGAATGATGGCAACGCACAGAAAGGGAGCATGGGAAGGTTTTAGAAGAGCTCGCAGGACAGAGGTGCTCCGCTCTTACCCCATTACTCTGGGTGGAGTGAACTGACTGCTCGCTGGTCGAGGAGCATGTGCTCATGCGGTCTGTGTCCTTGCTGTGTGAAGAGTGGCGGTGGACCTGCCGCTGGAGGGAGTCATTGTCCCCAGGGAAAGTGAAGGAGCCAGGGCGGCTGGCAGGGGATGCTGGGATGGAGCTCCAAAAGGAGCCCTTCTGCAGGGGGCTGCTGGGTGGAAAGGTTTCCTTGCCAAAAGGAGAAGGGAAAGTCGTGGAGAGAGGAGAGTTCATTGGTGAGATGGCTCCTGGCCTTGGCTTCCCAAGCGTCAGTGATCCTATGCTGTTTCTTGTTCGACTGTCCTCTGAGCTTCCACGTGAGTCTTTCTGGGCTCCATCAGCTGAGCCAGAAATGTTTCCTGCTGTCTTCCTGGGACTTTCAATAACTTTCATCTTGGGAATCTGTTCAGCTTCTCTCTGAGGACCATCCGGCTCTGCACTGGGAGGGTGCCTGTCTGGCTGGCTCAGGCCAATTTCTAAGGAGGTGTTGTAGTGTGGCAGGGAGTGATTGTGAATGGACATACCTGACATCTTGTCTGCCTCTGCTTGGGCCGAGGCTGCAGAGGAGACCAGGACTGGGGAATGGTGTCTGACAGGCTGGGGGATCCGGGATGGCCGGCTACGGCTGGAGCTGGGGATGCCACTACAGCTGCTGGGGCCGCTGCTGTTACCACTGCTGCTCCCGCTGCCGCCTCCACCACTGCTGTGGTTCCTCTGGTACTCGATCGGGGACGTCAAGGCTGCAATGGGGGCGGGAGGGAGGAGATCAGGGGGAGAGAGGGCAGGAAAAGCAAGAGGAACAGTTTAAAACAGACATGTTTACTGGCAAAAAGGGAAGTGCTGTTCAAATAAATTTCCTTAGCAATGGTGGTCATGCCATAGACCTCAACTCACTTTTCTACAGCTCACCTTCATGACCTGCTACATTTGCCTATATTAAAGATCAAGAATCTGAAACTAGGAAGAAAAGTTTTCCTCTAGGATCACATTGTTGGTCAGCAGCCAAGCTTGGAAAAAACAGGTGTGACTCCAAATTCTCTTCACTATAACTCTTTTAAAAAAATCTATATTGGGGCAACAACTGATAGATATGAAAACGCAGCAAGAACCCTCTAGTGTCACAACAGTCACTACCACCTTCTACTTTTCTCCTGCAGAATCTGAATGTTGCCCCAATAAGATGTGACAACAATGACCACCAAAATAACACAAGCAAAACATATTCTGAATAGATGCTTAAAATTCCACTTGGGTTTAGCCTTTAAAGGTTTGCTTTGCTTAAAAGGGGTACACAAGCTCTCCACTTCAACGGATGGTGACAATCTTGATTCACTCCCACAAAACATTTGGAAAATTTCACCAAGAGAACACCATGTAAATTCAGACTACCACTCTTATAATAAATGCTGGCATCTGTTCTGAAGCAGAAATGCGGCACATATCCCCCAACTGTTCTCTATTAGCTCAGGAAAAAGAAAACTTACAAAACTTACAAAACATTTCCAATCCAAGAAACAACAGAGGAAAGAATCAAGTCATTCAATTATGAACTTTCAGTGAAAGGAAATAATTTACCATTTAAAAAGTTGCGCTGGTTTTCCAAAATTTGGTTAATTTCATGGATCCATAACTGGCGGACTCCTGGACTGGCAGAATGCAAAATAAAGGTTTCCGTGACATCGCCTGTCCTTGATGTTAGTGCAAATTTACATGGATCGCTGTCCACATTTTCCTCCAGGGAAAGGCAACTCACCTTCATGAAAAAAAAAGATAATTTATTTGTGCATTTTATGAGAAACCTACCTCTAAAAATTTCTTACTTAGGAGCTTAGAGTCAGATCTTCAAATGATAACCATTCTTTCCTTCAGTAAAGTAATAGTATGAAATGAAGGATTACAGTAAACTAAGGATTAGTGTACAGTTTACTGACACACTTGCCGGAACAGTGTCCAGCTGGTCAGCATGCTCCAATGTTCTCCATCATCCTCACTTTCATGTTAGTTGAAATGCTAATCCTGCCAGGGAGCTCTACCACTGGCCACAACAAAGGCTTCAGTTGTGGATACAGCAATTCCTTGGACCAGGCTGTTCAGCCAGCACTATAAACAGAAGGCTCAGCCGGTAGGCAGAGCACCAAGGTGAATTAGGGGAAGGAGGGTCCACCCAAAACTCTTCATGAGGAGGGCTGCTGGGCTCTAATGTTATCGAGTGTTTTTCCAGGGAAAGCTTGAAGTGGGGGAAAACACTTTTTGTTTGAGGGAGAGCTGACACATCTAAGAAGGTTGCACTGCTTACAAATATTATCTACATATTTGAATATCAGAAAGAATAAATAAAAAGTTATTAAATCTATTTGCAATTACTTTGCAATGTGTTGTGCACATAGCATAGAGCTTACAACTAAATTCTTTGTGAACGCTTGTCCAGCTTTGTGCAAGAACACTTCTTTTCATATGCTTCATGTAGGTAGCATCAGATCCAAAGCTTTCCATTTATCATCAGAATGAGAACAGACTTCGTAGGAAGTAATTTCAGGAAATAACTGACACCTCACTGTGCTCTATGATTGCACATCTAGATGTCACTAGTGACTCCCCACAGAATGAGAAACTGTTACCTTAGCAGAGTTTGTGCAGGGGACACAAAGACTCACACACATCAGTTACCTTGATACTGTTTTTAAACAAGAATCCGGGCATGGAGAAACCTTTCTTTTTATCTAGCAGCTCACTGAAAATGACAATCTGCTCAAACAGGAAGACCCGTCTCTCCTTGCAGCGTGGCAGAAGTCCCGCATCCTGGTCTGTAACCAAGAATGTGTCCTGGAGCAGGAGTTTACCCTGGGCTACAATTTTACCCTAAATACAGAGAGAAGCAGAAACACATTTAGTGCAATTCTTCATTTCTTTCCCCAATCAATCTTTTTGAGCAGAGTCTCATGCCAAGTAGCTTTCTACATTTCCTGACTTCTGTTACTGATCATTACATAGTCATTGCTCCTCCTATACACAAGACATTCTTGTGCCATTTCTCAAAAAACAAACATCATGAAGATAAAAAAACCAACCAAACCCCCAAAAAATCCACTCCCACTCTTTTCAATTCATACTCCACTTTGAGGCTTGTAACACTAAGTCTTTCATTTCTATATTCTCAGTAACTCCAGCATTTACTTATATATTCCTCCAGTGCCTTCCAGAGTGCTGAATAGGGGAAGAATTCAAGTTCATACCTGCATCACAGATCATAAAGGGCTTTGCAGGTATAACTTGTGACTGTGGTCTGGAATGATGCATACTGCTTCAACAGCCAATTTCCAGCTCTTCCAGACAAAGCAAAACGAGGAGAAGGATTACGGTTGCCTCACGTACATTACTGAGGTCGCTTAGTGACTCCTCCTTTGTCTACTCTACTGAAGTCAGGGCTGCTCACCTGCTGATACCTGATTACTTCACTATTTTGCAAGCCTTTAGTCAACTAGGGAACTGCAGTAACACCTGCACTTTCTAGATGTTGCAGAAAGACTTACCTGGTGTGACTGACACACCAGGTAAAGTTTCCCAGGGAAAAGTCCTTGGAGGGCTAAGACTTGAGTTTTCATTCACTGCTTTTTGCACCAGCTAACCATATAATGCAGTAGCACTCTACTTCATTTCTCCCCAAAACATTAATTTTTAAAAAACCTGACAAAATCTCTAAGCAAAACTCCAGCCAACTTACATCAAATCCTTGCAGGCGGCCAACATTCATCATGTCATTACACCGTTTTGGTACTATACACATGACCTCTACAGCTTTCTGTTCAAGACAAATAAAAAGGCAAAGCTTTATTTTCCAAACGAGTTAGCAGCATAACATTTTGTTTAATTTGATATGGTTGCTTTAGAATAGAAATACAATAAGTAAACACTTAAAATCACATTCTCAAGAAGATCAGAAAAGGAAAGTGAGTCTGCCAAAACAAGAGAAGTTCAGAGTTAAGAGAAATCAAGTCACTAAGAGAAAATGTTTCAAGTACCTCTAGTTCTGTTGTGTCAAGATTAGCTTTTTTAGAATATTTGAGGAAGTCCTGAAAAAGAAAAAAAAACCAAGTAATATTTCTTTTCTAATTAATCAGCAAAGAGGAATTTTAGAAAATCTGAATTTACTATCCTTTGTCAGAATATGACAAACTGCAGAAAACACATAGAAAAATTTTATTTTTCTTGGTTTAAGATTTAGTCACCATTTGGATTTAGCTTATACAAGAAATGTGTTACACAGAGTTGCTCTTCAGTAAACACTTACGTGATATTAAAATGGTTGCAGATGTAGATGGAGAGAGAGGCTGGGATCAGTCCCAACAACTCACATCATTTTACATCTGAAAACAGTTGAGAGTTCTTTCTCCCGTTCACATGACACTGGTAAAAATTCTAAATATTTCCATGACTAAACATTTTGTCTCTTAAAAGAAGCGGCAAATTTCTGCCCAAGCCACTTACTGCAATACTTAGATCTGAATATTCTCATAAAATAATCATATGGCATTGCTTACAAATCTGGCTTCTGCTTGGGAGAAGGGTGGAAAAATATCAGCAATAATTAAAAAAAGAAAACGTATCTATTAATAGATCTGTAACATATCTGTTAACACATCGCATTCATCTCTACATCACTTTACCTTTAGTAACAGCTGGTATTTCATAATTCTCTGCACAGGTTTTATTAGCAAGTCCGTGAGCTGAAGTCTGTGGCCCAGGCGTTGCTTTAGATCCTGAGAGTTGTAAAACAAACGTTTTTGTTTGTTCAGTAATAAAGAACTTTGAGTTAAAAACACAGTATTCATATCAGTATACGGAGAGAGATATATACATATAAAAGGATATTTCGGTAGGATATAATGGCAACCATACCAGAAATTGGTAAAAGTCACAGCAGAATCTAATGTTCAGTTAGCAAAAGGTGGAATCCTTCCCCTTATCTGTATCACCCTTGTTTTCAAAGTATTCCGATCAGCAAGCATCTTTCATCTCTTTTTTTTTTTAACAAGACTGCATAGTGAAATGTAATTTCTCAGTCCCAGGTTGTATATAACCTATTTTCAACAGTGATCTCTGCTCATCCAAAACTGCCATTTCATATAACATGCACTGGTAACTGCCTGGTCTAGGGCTAGTAAGGACAAGACTCTAATGATTAATTGATATCTTATACCTAAACTTTGGTTTTCCTTTCTGAGAGTCTGTATCAGATTTGAGAAATCAGAACAGAAATGGCAAGAAATTATAATTTACAACAGTACCAATAATATCTGCTGCATCTATTTGGTTGGTTGGTTTTTGGATTGATCAACAGATCTGATAATGCTTATGATTTGCACACACCCTTCACCTGGCACATCTTCTCTCAGAAACTTACCTCAAAAAATGTATCAATGTATTCTGAGACAATGTGCTCAGACTTTGGTTTGTTTTGGCAGTAAACTATGTACATGTGCAACCTTCTCTCCTGGAGGAACAAAGATACAGAATGGTACATCATTATCAAGAAAAATATGCCAGATTGAAATGGAATATTATTTTAAGAAGTACAGCTGTTCAAAAGTATGAACTTAAAAAAACTTTGAGGAAAAGCAGTTACATATGTAGAAATTACAGATCTGAAAACAGATTTATTTGAGAATATCATTATGATTTTAAAAAGGCAACACAAGTGAAAAAAATTCCCACAGTTACAAATCCTCCTGAACAACAGGTGTTCAGAGATGATAGCTCAGCAAGTCCCACAATACAGTTAAGTATGAAAATGGTTATCTTTTTCCTTTAGCAAGAGCAGTGGGAGGTTGGACCAGATGACACCACAGTGGTCCCTTCCAACTTCACTGTTCTGTGATTCTGTAATGCATGTAGCCTCTGAAATTTAATATTTTTTTAGTTTTATTTTAATAATCGGATTAGTATTCAAATTTATTAGAATAATGACCTCCTCCTATTTAGATGTACAGAATAATTAGGAGAAACCTCTCAAGTCCTCTATTTAGTTAGCACTGCCTGTCCTGCTGGAGTTTGAGTGGGGATGTAGGTGATGAAGCCTGGAAATAGGAGTACTAGTATCTTTTAACTCTGATGCTTTCTATGAATGTGCTTTTAACAACAAAACAACAAAGAAAAAGAGAGAGAGAATAAGTTAAGCCTTCAAGATTCATTCTTGATTACTGATCTTTCTGGTTAAGAAGCACAGACAGACATACTATGTGTGTCACCTACTCCAAACTCTTTCCTATACTTTGCTAGGATTGGTTTGCCATTAGAGGCTTTGCTGCCTAGAGTGCTGACCAGTGAAGACAAATGGTAAGGAAAAAAAATGAAGAAATAAGATGGAGATTGAAAAGGATACAGGACACAGATTAAGAGCAGGAAGTGAATCGCTGTGTTCTAGCTAATAGTCAGGGCTTTCCTAGAGGATA